TCCATTTGGCCCAACTTATGCTTTTGAGGCAAGGGTCGCGGTGGAAATGATAATCCCAAGTTGGAGGTCGGAGAAATACCAGACGTCAATGAGGAGAAAACAGGCAGTAGAGCTGAATTTCTTGGAAGAAAAGAGGGATGAAGCCTTTGCCCAAGCAGAGAAATCGAAGGTACAATGATGTCCGTGTAAAAACAAAGCTTCCAGGTGGGGAACTATGTCATGAGAGAAAAGGAAAAGAGCCAACCCACAAAAGATCGCTAACTCGCAAAGTCTTAAGAGGGCCCCTACATTGTAAAGGCAATGGTAGGGCTCAGGACATTCAAGCTAAAGGCACCGAAGGGAATGGATGTTGAGAGGGCTTGAAATGGCGAGCATTTGATCAAGATCTAACCGTAGATAGGTTGTCGTAAGTTTAAATTTGAAGTTGAAATAAGTGTGAGAGAGGCCCAAAGAGAGAGACCAAGGACCCCAACATCACATTATCCATCAATAAAATTCAACAGTGAGGCGCAAAGGCTCAAGGTGTTAGGCCCCAAGACCCCACGGCCCACTAGCTGTTCTTCAATTTATGTTCTTCTCTTCGCTCTCACTAAGCAAGGAGGCAAGGAGGCCTCCAGGACCAAAAAGGATCCTGACACCCCTTGACCCCTTGGCTAGTATTCGCTAAGCAAAGAGGAGAGGAGACCTCCAAGACTATAAAAGATTACGGTACCCCTTGACCACTTAGCTAGTATTCGCAAAGCAAAAAGGCGAGGAAGCCTTTGGGACTATAAAAAATCATAGGACCCCTTGACCCCTTGGCTAGTTTTCGCTAAGCAAGGTGGCGAGGAAACCTCTACGACTATATAAGATTTTGGGAGCCCTTGAGCGCTTAGCTAGTTTTCGCTAAGCAAGGAGGCGAGGAGGGGATTATACAAGATCCTTGGATCCCCTGACCCCTTAGCAAGTTTTACTAAGCTAGGAGGCAAGGAGACCTCCAGAATTATAGAATATCCCGGGACCCCTTGACCCCTTAGCTAGTTTTCACTAAGCAAGAAAGCAAGGAGGCCTCCGAGACTATAGAAGATCCTGAGACTCCTTGACCCCTTAGCTAGTTTTCACTAAGCAAGGGGTCTGGCCTCTGGGACTATAAAAGATCTCTGAACCCTTTAGGCTTTAACCCCTTAGCTAGTTTTCTCAGCAAGGGGGCCTTCGAGACTATAAAAGATCTTGAGACCCCTTGACCCCTTAGCTAGTTTTCACTAAGCAAGGGGGCCTCTCAGACTATAAAAGATCCAAGGACCCCTTAGCTAGGTTTTCCCAAGAGCACCTCCGGAACTATAAAAGATCTCGAGACCCCTTGACCCCTTAGCTAGTTTTCACTAAGCAAGGAGGCCTCCGAAACTATAAAACATCCATGAACCCCTTGACCCCTTAGCTAGTTTTTGCTAAGCAAGGATTCCTCCAGGACTATAGAACATCCTGGAACCCCTTAGCTAGTTTTCTACTTGGTACATAATAGAAGAGTTAAATGCTAATTCAGAAAGAAAAGCAATTAAATTCCATTAATAGATAGGTTATCATTACAAAGGATGGTTTACAAAAAAGGAAAAAAAAAACTAAGGGCCTAAGACCGGGGCTTCTCCATCCGTGGTGAGAGACTGTACTCCTCTATAAGCCATCCGGGGGACCAACCCATTCTTCACTGAGGGCCTCGTAGATAACCCTTTGTTGCGTGCATTGCCCTTGATCGAAGCGATTCTGGTAACATGCCTCCATGATCCGTAGCCGGCATAGGGTGTCTTGCTCTCGAGTGGCTATTACAGCAAGGGCTCTGGCTGCCTCATCCTGAACGGTGGAGGCTTTGTCCCGAATATGTTGAAGAAGAAAGAGGATGACCTACAAGCGGTCAGGTTATCTGTCTCGACCGGCCCTTGAGCACTTGGTTGCGCTTGCAAGTCCGGAAGACTTGGTTTGTGAGTTGCCACCTCTCCTCCCGCATCTGCTCTTGATTTGCTTGCTCTAGAGCCCGGATTTTGTCCCTTTGCTCATGAAATTGGATTTGTAAGAGGCAAGGTCTCTTCGAGGCACTTGTTTTTCCATGAGAGGTTGGTTATTTGCTCTTCTACTCCTTCGACCCCCAAGCAAACCATGCTCTAGTTGTTTCACCTGAGAGGCAAGGGCCCAAATATGCTCGTCTTTTTCCCACACGAGTTTGTCCTTCCCCAAACCGTCAATGAAGAATTGAGCAAAGTTGTAGATAGAAGGCGGCGTCCATATGCGAGATGGGTCATCTCTCCCCTTGGCGTTGGCCTTCTTGAATGCCAGGGCCCCCTCCCGGAAGGTGGATATACGAAGACGCTTCAGGCCATCCCTGAAATAAATTTGGTATAGCTCCGCCCGGTGAAGTGTATGGGTGGCTCCGGGAGAGGCCCCTCGTACGTCCCAAACATTTTGGTCAAGGCACCGGCCGGTGGAGCGGAAAAGTCCCCTTTGGTTCACTTGCCGGATGGTTGTGCCTCTGGTGGCAAAGGGAGAGCGTGGAATTTCTTCGAGCAGACCAGCTCATCATCTTTAGACCCAAAACCAGCCCCCTTCCGGAACAGCTTCCGGATGATCCCTGGTGGCAAACGGTACGGTCTGGCAAAGGCGCTCGGCATCTCTTCCATCCTTTGGTGTTTCTTTCCGAGGGGACCCCGAGCGTTTTCCGCTTCGGGCCGCGGGCGGGAGGGGGATGTCGGCATCAATATCTACCAGGACAACAAGAAATAAGAATACATAAAACCTAAGTCATTTGTGCATTCAATGAATGGATTATTTGAAATACCTGCAGGATTTGCACAGAACAGGATTTGTTGTAGCAAGAATCCAGATCTGGGTGCCGGTACCTTGTTCTCATGGACCGGTAGTGGCATTGGCAACATCATAGGAGCTGCTCTCTTCCTCACTCCCGGAGGAATCTTTGCTCCCCTCATTCCCGGAGGTTTCCTCTCTGTGGACTTTGACAGCTACGGGGGAGCCTTCACTCCCAAAAGTGGAGCTTTCCTCTTCCCCACTTTCCTCCTCGGACAAGGAGTGGACATCTTCTACAATGGGGACAGAGGCGTCATGGTGTTGTTGCGGCTGAGGTGGGACAGAGGGTCCCGCACCATCCTTTTTGGACCAGATTTTATCCGGATGAGGAAGGCCGGTCCAGCTCCTCGTGTGCTGGGGGTCCCTCCCCTTGAGAGTTTAGAAGAGGAGGTCACCGGTAGGGTCGGTGTTGCACTTTTGGCTGGTGACCCCTCTTGATTGAAGATGTTGTGGAAACCCAGTTGATTCCCGACTGAGACACAGCCCAGCAGCTTTTCCTGTCCCATTTCTCCGCCTTCTCTAAGACGTTGGCGAAGATGGTATGTTTTTAGTCTGGGTAGACGCTTACGTATGGAACTCCATCCAAACAAAAGAGGTGGCGGAAGATCTTGTAGGTGGGGGCAACCTTTTTCTCTGCGCATCGCAGGATGAAGGCAAAGCGGTTCGGTGGGCATTGGCCGTTAAACTGACCTGGTGGGATCCGGAGGCGATTGTAGATATTAATCAAAAGAAGATGGAGGCAATAGCCGGTTCTGACAGACTCACACTGGAGCTGAACCGCGCAATCTGAAGCTCTGTTGTTGAGAATGTTGGTGCTCACTAGGGGCTCCACCTTGCAAGATGGGCCTGGAAGGTGATGCATCTTGGTGTGGAAGCCGCTGGTCTCTATTGCTCCATATCTACTTTCCCCATCGTGTAATTGGAAATGAAATTAAGGATTCGAGGTTGAAATTGGGAAAATGAAGGTTGAGGATGGAGAGTCGGAGTGACTGAAAGAGGATTTGAGATTCGGAATCGCCCGGAGAAGATGAAGATTGAAAGCTATGGAGAGTTTGCAGGGGTGCTCTAGGGACTCGCAGCAGTAAAAGATGAAGATGACTTGGTGGTGTTTAAATAGTTGAGTGGAAGGTGAAGTGACGGCGGCAGATCGCTGCATGCAGGGTTCCCATGGGGATGACGATGATGGAGGAGACCAGCTGGCGTCTGGGTGCAGTACTCAAAGGAGGCGGTTGGGGATACGAGTATTTAATTATGTTGTGTTTAGTTTTACTTAATAATTGTAATTTCTTGGTGGGCAAACCCACACAAGAAACTAAGGGGCTTGTCATGGGCACATTGGACCGAGATGTAATTAGTAATGTGATTAGCCCAATATATTTATCCAACGCATTATGCCCAGCGACTAGAGCCCAGACCTGAAGGTGCCCACGAGCGGATTGGCGGGTTAACCCGCTCAGGCCGTGGGGTTTACGTAATGGATTGGAGCCGTGCGCTAGGGGTAATTACTTTGGGAGAGGTTTACTTAAATTTCATAAGTAAATGGCTAGTGAGATTAGGAAGAGGCTATAAATACCCCCCCCCCTCCCCTAAGGGATTCAAATAAAGGGGAGTATTATTATAATTATTATTATTACTATTATTATTATTATAATTATTATTATTATTATTATTATTATTATTATTATTATAAATGTAGCATATCCCAACCTGCTACAGAAACAAATATAGGGGAATTGTTATTTCCACTCATTTTTACTTGGAGCACTCCAGGTAACTCTTGAACCCTCCTCCCATGAACAATATAAAATTGTGCTCCAAATAAAACTGTGAGTGGAGATTACCCCCCTAAATATAATTAGTGTGGAGCACTCAAATTTAAGGAATATGCTTGTTGGATTTGAGATGTGCAGAGGTCAAAGCCCTACCGTATTACTCTGTATGATTTTATCAATGTGGCTATGCTTAAAAAGAAACATGTTTAATTTTGGTAATCTAGAAGTTCAAACGCAAGCTGTTGTCAGCATTAAAGGATATTTATTGACTCAACTAAAATTATAAGCTCATAGTAAAAGTGTAAACTTATACACTTATGGTTTACATAACACATTTTGACCTCAACACAGAATATTCTAAAAGGACAAGAATGCAGATATAGATAAGTCAAATACCTTGAAGGGCAAAACTGAACATCTTCAACAGTATCATCATGCCCTACAAAAACACCCCGAGCTTGAACAGTAGGACTATTTCCAGGCAGCTTACTGTTAGAGGCTCCAGATCCTGGAGACCTTTTATCTCCCTGTTCAGATGCCAAGGTAGAGATATGGTCATGAATGCTCCACAGAACTACTGACTTGTCCTTTCCTGTCCGAAACGTAGTGAATCCAAAGCATTACTTTAAACAGATATACACCAAAAATATCACTGATACAACAACAACAACAACAACAACCCAGTTGAATCCCACAAGAGTAGGGTCTGGGGAGGGTGTGTGTACGCAGACCTTACCCCTACTCGAAAGTAGAGAGGCTGTTTCCAAAGAGACCCCCGGCTCAACGTTGAAAGTCGCATTGCTTGACTAACTGCTACTTCATTAATTAAAGAAGCGCAGACAGTTTAGAAATCCATTTTGATTTATTCCATCACACTCCAAAGCCAAAAAATGGTGAAATTTTGGCTCCATCGGAGATGATGGAAAAAAAAATATCACTGATTGCTGACACTAAAAAACATCAATTGTCCTTCCATGTCGGAAAAGTTGTGAATCCAAATCATTACTTTAAAAAATATCATTTGTATCTATATATTAATATCACACGTATCTTAAACACATGAGCAACTAGCCGATTACTTAAAACTGTAAAGACAGCAAAATATTTTGAAACTTGAACATGTTTGGTGGCTGCTAACCTCCAGATAGAACAAAGGGCTCTGTCGGACACATGGCAAGTGCAAATTCAGCATTATCTTGATGACCAGTCAACACCTGAAAGTTGTACAAGTCTTAGCCACCTGGTCTGACAAAATTAATCATAGTAGAACGAAGTACTCACATCAGATATCTAGAATAGATACTTTCAATCAGGGATCATAAATCAGATTGTAAGATCCTAAAGTAGCAGTTAATACTTAAAATATACTAGTAAAAAGTATGGCATGTACTGTACATATGCATAATCATCGTCACCTAAATCGCGGTGTGTTCTGGTACGAGTACGCGGTTCGGGTACAAAATTCGCTAGAGGTGAAGAATTCGGTACGAAGGGGGGTAGGTTCATTTCGGTACGAAGCGGTACGGTGTACCATGTATTTGGTTCGGTGTACCAAAAATCAAAACAAAAGTAAACAAACTAATAAATATCAATATATAACTGTAAATCAAAATGGATCTCTAAACTATCTGCGCTTCTCTAATTAATGAAGTAGCAGTTAGTCAAGCAATGCAACTTTCGACGTTGAGCCGGGGGTCTCTTTGGAAACAGCCTCTCTACTTTCGAGTAGGGGCAAGGTCTGCGTACACACACCCTCCCCAGACCCTACTCTTGTGGGATTTAACTCGGTTGTTGTTGTTGTTGTTGTTATATAACTGTAAAAAAAGGTTAGTAGAATAAACATAGCAAAAAAGAAATTAGAAGCCAGTTCAGCCCAATAAGAATTTCAGCCGAAAAGAGAAAATAGAAGTTATTGTGATTTTTTATTAAAAGGTAGCATAGAAGTACAGTTGCTTCCGTCAAAATCTAAGGGTTGAGTAGTTTCTTTTTCGGAAATCGTTTCTGTTCCCAGCCGCAGATCCGGACGATCTCTATTCCAGATCTCTCTCGCGATCAGAATCGCAAACTCGGGCAATAGTACAGATCCGGAAGTAAAGTTGCAGGAAGAACCCCACCAGCAAAACCCAACTGTCTCAGATCCGGATCGCGATTTTGGAACGCCGTACGGCCGACGTTCGGATTGCAGTCGAATTGTGATTGGGTACGTCGCTTACCAATACGGAAGACGCGGCTGTAGCAGCGAATTCTGTGACTATGTGCATAACAACTTAGATTTAAAATAAATAGCCATAATTCATAATCGTAATGTCAGAACAAATAGTACTCCCTCTGTAAGATCAGAATATAGTACTTTCTCTGTGGCTTCGTCCCAAATTAAACTTTTCATTTTTTTCACTCTTTAAAAAAAATGTGCAATTGAGATTTATGCAAAAGATAGAATAACAATGTGAACTATTCAGTGCTCTCTTAAAGAGGAATAAGGAGTATATTTTAAGACAAATTAAAATAGAGAAATTTATTGTAGAAGGAAGTAAATGTCCCGACACCCAAATTTGTAAAGATCCAATTAAAAGAAGAAGATAATTTAAGTCGTTGAAGAGTAGGGAATGACGAAAAATGTCTTCGACACTGCAGATGGATTTCGGTGACAAAATTGAAGTCATTAAAGACTACAATCACGGAGTAATAAATGTACACTACTGATCTGTAAGGCCCGACCCGTCTGTTTCAAACATCAACTAACTACTTCACGACCCAACCTGGCCCGTTCTTGATCTTCCTTAAGAACGAACAGATTGATGACCCTACGACTTGACAATCCAGCTCGATGATCTTGTGTGATCTTAGCCATTTCTGGTTTAAGACGCGATCCAGATAAGAAACATGGATCATATAATCGCGTGATCCTGCGATCTAGATTGCGATTTTGATAACATTGGTCAAGACTCAAACCAAAAAAATATATTTATAAGTAAATGGACGAGTAGATGGACTTGACAATCACTAACAAAGATCTTAATAGCTGCAGTATTATATTTTACAAGAACGCATACCAAATCTGGCCGAGAATCAGAGACTCCCAATGCCGCATTCCGATTAGGCTGAGACTCAACATCCCAAATGAGAACCTGGTTCCACAAATCCCACAATTTAAAGAACCCCATGTAATCACGTCAAAAATATCAAACATTAAATGAAAACGCAAATAAAGAGAGCAGAAGAATGACAAAAGATTGCTGAAGAGGGCTATTAAAGACATCGGCCCAACAAAATACTCACATCAGGGCTGTCAGTATGTGTTGCCACTATCTTACTATTCTGGGGCAACTCCCTGATTCGATTAACCTGCCATCATTAACAAAACTTTCAAATCAATTCTACACAAAGCTAAGTTTTTTGTTTCCAGAAACCAAGACATCATTCCAGTACTAGTGCTCGTGTTCAAAGATAGCATACCTAAATTGGAAAATGAAAACCTCACCCAAAAAATGTGGCGCGTAATCTAAATTCTAGAGCAACATAAAGTCTTTAGAATGGAATGTGCATACCTCACCAGGGTGAATGATTGTCTTGTGCTTTTTAACAAAAGGAGAGCGTGCTTCTTCATTGAACTAGAGCACGGGAATGCAATACATAAAATAATAGGAATAAGAAACAAAATAATAACAATAATAATAATGTGGTCTATAGAGTGAAAAACCATGGATTATATTATGTAGAAGAAAATACCTGTGAGATGTGCTCAGCAGCAGCAACTCTAGGTTTTACAATTTCACAATTCGCTATGACGAGTGTATTCGGAACACTTCCGTCAGTCTAGCATGGGGACACAAGTTCAAAAATAACAAAAGGTTAACATAAATTAGTATTAATAAATTGTAAGCTGAAATGGAACGACCAGGCTACATCCACGATCCACCATAGGCCCAAAATGTAATATCTCCACCCAACCGCAACCGGAAGTGGGTAGACTTTTTTAAAACCCACCCCAACAGATGCAGGTCTTCCCCACTTCTAGAGCAGTAAATTATTTAAATTTAGTAGTATCATGGTAGGTCAGGTTGGTGATAGCATGTTTTCTAATATTACATCAAACACATGACTCAAACCTGAGAGGATTAATTTTTTAGAATCCGACCCCCTACACATTGTCACCCAAAAGGTATTATCCATTTGAATCGAGTTCCGGTGTAAAGCCGTGTGTGGGATGGAAATTGGAAACTTGTAGATATTAATTGTAAGCTCTTAACCCAAAGAATCTTCTAAACACTAATCAAGACTTGAAGTGAATTATTAACCCCTTTGAGAAGCCTTAGCACATTTCAATTGTGTGGGTGGGTACATTTAGTAGTAACGAAGTATTCCCTCCGTCCCACTATTTTTTCGTGTTCACTATTCACATGGTCAAACTAAATCTTCTTTCTTTACATATTTTCATCCATCGTTTGTTAAAATAATATAGTCATGTTACCACTTGTATTATAGAAATTCTGATGTAGTTTATATATATATATATATATATATATATATATATATATATAATTTTTTTAAGTTTATACAAATATTTAGATAAGTTCAATAAATTATAGTTTCAGTCAAAGATTGTAAACCAAAATGGGACAAAATAGCGTGACGGGGACTAGTATGTATTCCAAATTGATTCTAATTTTAAAACGTCAGAAAAACATTCATCTAAAATACACAATAATAATTATCATAAATGACATTCATTAATTTCCTAAAACAGCTAAAAGCAATTCCGTGTACTTGTGCTCATGTCCAAAACAAGGAGTAAATGACTACTCGTAGCAAATACGGAGTAACTAACTTTCTTATAGTGCCTAATAAACCACTTTCACTTTGAGAAGATCATACCGATCTACATTTCAAGCCAACAAAGCTTGCCTCATCATAGAACCGGGCTAACAAAAAATTGATAAAAGCATAAAGCAACTTATAGAAATATAAGGGCTAGTTTATTCTAACTTATCATTAAAATCAACTAGTTTTGCACTTGTTTTAGATTCTGAGTAGAATAAGCAGTTGATTGATTTGATTCTGCTAATCAAAACCTCAGAAGTAATCAACTACTTGATTCTCTAGAATCAACTAATTCTTAAGCACTTGATTCAAGAAACCAGAATCCATCAAAACGATAATTAAAACCAAATGAGCCCTAAATATGAAAGTTAAAAATAAGGCATGAACTTTGACAACTGACGTGGAACCCACCTGACAAGCTAGTAGGTGAGTGCGCAAAATATATGCATTTAAAATGTTTGAGAAGATCATCTTACCTGCTCAGATAAGTAAAGCCGTTGGCGATTCTTGTAAGTTGCTTGCTCTACTTGTGGCCCCCACCTGATAAAAATGGCAATGACTTTGGTTTAATAGGATAAAAAAGTCAAATTCATGCATCACATAAATGGTGAAAAGTCTGAAAACTTCATACCATGGCAATGCAGTAGCAGTAACACCAAACAAACAGACAAGTGAATAAACGCTGACCCTAGGCATTTGATCTAAAACAATATTTACCCCTTATTGTTTAATTATTAAATAAAATGATCAGAAAACTAAAATCACACACCTGCACTTGAGAACCTAAGAGTTTTGAAAAGAACAGACAAAAATTCCAGCTTTCGAATCCTTGGGTAGTTCTTGGGGTAAAGGTAAGCTCTGAGTAAACCTAAACATCCCCAAACCCTACTTCCAAGTAAGACTCGTGTCTATTTGGTTTAGTTTACAAATTGCAATGAGATTTCTCCTTCAAAAGTGGATGAAGGGAAAATATTCGAGAAGTACAGTAATATTTACAAAGAAAAAAAAAGGATAAATGTACAAATGTTGTTTGAGTCATTGTTTCCCAGGACCCAGCCAGAGTATCAACAACATGATCAGAGAAAAGTAAACAACATACCAACTCTCCAGTTCCTAAAACGCAGCTCAGGTATTGAAAACGATTAAACCCTAAATAGACAGAGATTGAGAAATGTCGAACCTGCAGGATAGAGATGGCCAAACAAGGTTGTGGTTAGCGAGCCAGTCGTAGAGAACGGGAACAAGAGACTTCCACTGAGTGTAACGCTCGTTTACCGACGGCTCACCGCCTTTTCCTGATCTCTCCTTCATCCTCACTGCGTATCTCAATCTGTTACCTGAGAGCTCTCTCTATCTCTCCCTATCTCACGTTCTCCTCGTTTTCCCGCCTTGGTCAGGAGCACCTCATCACTCTGCTCATTTGCTACTGTTTCCCAGGTTTTAAGCTTTGAAAGTCATTTAAGTAAATAATTAATGGTATAATTACAGTTATATTTAAAACTATTTTTGATTTAATTTGATTTTAATAAGTGATAGATCTAAATCCATGATTGACCAGGCTAATGATCGACAACCCGGGTGCTAGACCGGCCCGGGCGGACTTTGTAGTAAAAACTACTAATTGGACTGGCCAATATGGTTGCAGCCTAGAAGCCGGACGGAGAATCAACGAGTAAGTCAATGGCAGATTACGAACCGATAGTGAAGAGACCAAAAGACCAGTTGCAGATTCACTTGGGTCTGACATAGCAAGTGGAGAGTGATGCATGCGTTAGCTAGAAGTCTCTATTTTCTATCTTTGTATTTACTTTGATATTATCATACGTGTAAGCTAGGGTTGCATCCCTATAAATACTCGACTTAAACTCTAGAAATGGAACAAGAAGATACTTTTCATCCTAAACTCCTCTCTCAATAATCTCTCTCTCTCCTTTCTGTTACGCAGCCACGAGATTTCCTTCTTCTCTACGAAATCTCCTCGCTCTTAATGAGATTTCTTTCATCATCTTGTATGTTGATGAAGAATTCCCTACTACCTCATCAGAACTTCTTAAAGAGTTTCATTTGAAGCCTCAATCCTCGTCTCAAAGCTTATTTGAGGGACTTCAAATTTGTATCATTGGTAGAGGTCATTGAGTATGCAAGGTGTCAAGAGAAAACAGTACATGCTATCAAACTACACGACAGAACAAGCAAACTAATTTTCAACAGCAGCAAAGCATTTGTACGGGCCTAGTTATTTTATACGCGTATAATACACGTATTATACTTACGCACGTATAATACGCGTATTATACTCACGTATCCGTATGATTTTCAAAAATACTTTAAAATACACGTATATTTGATATTATATGTATTATTACGTATAGTATGTATGAATTGAATATTTCATTATAAATTTTTTTGTACAACTACAAATATTAATTTGTCCTAAAAAATATTTGAACAAAATACGAGTAATACTTCATAACAGTTATACATACAATACTCAATCAATTTGAAAAAAATATATACTATCTACATTCTACAAAGAATTTTACACTTTTTTGTCACGTTCAAAAAAAGACTTCACTCTTTCCCTTTTTGTATGTCTCAAAAATTCATTTTCTTTTTAGAAAGGAACGAATAACTCACAACTCTTTTTTCTAAATATATTCAAACTATAAAGTTTTTATTTTTAACATTTTTTTAAACTACGTACGTGAAAGTCAAATAAATATATTTTTTTAAATGACGGGAGTACGTATTTTTTTTCAAATAAATATGTTAAATAAATAGAGATTTTAATTTGAAAAAATCTATTGTAAATATTTTATTTTAAAGATTTTTGTATTTTGTTTATTTACCCTAATATAAATTGATGACTATCAATCTATAAATATGTGTAAATTTGGCGTATATATGATAATATATATAAACATATAATAAGACGTATTTTAAAAATAGAAAACGTTTAAAACGCGTACGTATCCGTATCCGTATGCCGAACGTTTAATATGCATAGTAAGCCGTATTTTATAAAATCCTAACGGATTATACACGAACGTACGTATTTACATATTATACGTTTTCCGTATATTACTAACTATGTTTGTACCCACACAAAATAGTGTTAAATCTACTTGCTCATTACATGTGGTGAACCAGTCTAGGTTCATTCCAGCAGCAGTAACGGCAGAGAAGATGGCTAAAGGCTTATGTTATTATTATGATAAACTATTAAAGAAAGGACATAAATGTGCATGTAAAGGCACACAATTATTCCTAGTGAAAGTAGATGGTGTTGCTGAACCTGAAAATGAGGTAGATCCATGGGATCCTGTACTTCAAATGGAAGAAGACATACCTTTCATTTCAGTAAATGCTGTAAGTGGAAACCAAATATTTCAGACCATGCAGATTATAGAACATTATGAACAGAAACCATTACATATCCTCATGGATTCTGGTAGCACTCATAACTTCCTAGACATAAACCTGACCAATGAAATATACGTTTGTACCGTTATGTTGATTGAATTGCATGAGTCTAGCTTGTGTGAATCACATGTTGAGGGATTTGGATCATTCAATAATTGTAACACCCCAACTCGAATAACCCAATTACCTAGATTATTTGAGGAATAATTTAAAACCAATTTAAAACTTTAATATAAATGATAATTTCAAATATTAAATTCAGAGTAATGTCGAAACAGTATGGAAGCTTAAATATAAAACATAATCAAATTGTTTTACATTTTCTGGGTACTCGCCCGAAAAGGTATTTATTTAATTAAAGCATCATAAATGTGGTCCACCAGTCCGTACATCTCGTCACTCTCATTGACCTCCGGGATGGGCTCCATGATCAGTATTGTTACCTGCGTGTAGCAAGTAAAACAATCTACACGCTCAGCGTCAGCTGAGGAATACGCTAATACAACAATTCCAAGTTGAATAGCAAGTAGACATATAATTATTCATGATATGGCATAATATAGCATGTATGCTCAAGATGGTGATAATGATACGTAATTGATGTCATACATGGTCATAAGGATTGTACTTGATGATGATTTCATGCTGTATGATTCTAACTTACAAGGAACGACCTTGCCCTATGAGATTCGCCCATTTGGTACGAAGAACTCATGCCACCTTAGTCTCACAAGGGAGACTAGAAAAGTAGGGGTGGTACTCGAAAGCCTGACTACATGTACGTACACTAAGCCCGGTCAGTGATGTCGGACTGCTAAGTCCCGCACAATCACAACTATAAGAGACGCACTAGGCATGATCTTTTACGCATGCATATGATATGATATGCTTTAGAATGGATGATGAAATGAATCATATGCTTTCGATTTTTAACGCGACGGTTAACCGTTTACGTCGACCGTTCGGGTCTGTAAATCCTATTTTTTGATATTTTTGGATATCTAAAATACTTCTTTGAGTTATTTTAACACTTATGATTAACATATCTATGTATTTGAACTATTCTTAACACTAATTATATTTTCATTTAAAGTAAAGTATCAAGAAAAACATATTTTTACTTTATGAGTTCAATGAGTTTGATCTTAAAGCATAAATGACTTATAATATGGCAATCAATCCTAACGATATATCTAGATTGATATTCAACCAAGGATTGCGTTACTAGGGTGCAATGTACTCGCCTTGATATCGTAGAGGTCGGAAAGATAGAAAGATAATAATACGCCTCAACGAACGTTCAACGTACGGTCACCCGTATCAACTTCGAGCTTCCGACGTTCAATCTTCTTGGAAATAACCTCCGGAAGTTCCTAGTAACCACAAGAGAGTTGACGGTAAGTATTTGGAAAGAAACGATGTGAAAATGATGAAGAAACATAGCCAACCCGAGGAGCTCTCCACCACTGGAGCAGTCTTGGTATTTTGGCCATATCTCCTTCGATACTTAACGAAATCACGAATCGTTTGTTTGGTTGGATTCGTATCGTCCGGGGCTACAATTTTGGTATAATAAACATTTTGAGAAAATGAACGGAAAAATTCAGAATTGACTCACAAGTGGACTGATTGTTTTATGCTCAGAATTTTGGAAAGCCTTGGTACTTCTTCTTGCTCCTTCCTCTTCTTTTGGCACAACAATGGAGTTTGAGTCTCCTTATTCTTTCCTTGCAGAGACAGCCGACAGAGAGAGAGAGTGTGAAGAGAGATTGATTGTGTTGTGAAGGCAAACTTTGATAAAATGGAGAAGTATTTGGAGTATTATATTGAGAAGTTTTGGAATTATAGTGTAGTGGAGGTGTGAGTGGATTTGGTGGCTTGATTGAGGATTTGAAGGGATTGGGCTGCGTGATTGAAGACTTTTGGGGAATTAAAATTATTCTCCTACTCCGTAATTGATAAACTGATTAAAACGGTACGCGCTTTTTCGTCCAAACTGTTCCGATTTGAAAACGGATCGCATATTTGGAATCAGACTGTCAAAACTAAAATTTTGATATAATTAAAATATTTTTCTGAAAACACTTATTTTTCAGTGTTCGGGTCTGTCTCAGTCATTAATTAATATTTAATTTAATTAATTCTTTTAGGCCTAATTTCGGGGCGTTACAATTCTCTCCCCCTTAAAATAATTTCGTCCTCGAAATTACCTGATTACTGGTCGCTGAAAAGTTGTGGATATTGAGATCGCATAGACTCCTCAGTTTCCCAGGTTGCTTCTTCGACAGAGTGACCTCTCCAAAAGCACCTTAACTAAGGGTACAGTCTTGTTCCTCAATTCTCGAACTTCTCGTGCAAGGATCTCTACAGGTTCCTCTTCATAAGATAGATTCTCGTCCAGAGTGACAGTCTCGTCTGATCTGTATCTCCTCAACATCGATACATGGAAAACATCGTGAATCTTGTTTAGTTCTGGCGGTAATTCCAACCTGTAAGCTACAAGTCCCACACGTTCTGTAACTTTGTATGGGCCTATAAATCTCGGACTGAGTTTCCCCTTTTTGCCAAAACGTAAAACCTTCTTCCAAGGAGAAACCTTCAAGAATACCCTGTCACCAACAGCATATTCGATATCGCGTCGCTTGAGGTCTGCATAAGATTTTTGTCTGTCTGCTGCTATCTGAAGTCGTTCTTTGATCAACTAAACTTTCTCCTCTATTTCGCGCACGAGTTGTGGACCTTCGAGTTTTCTCTCACTCAATTCAGTCCAACAAATTGGTGTGCGACATTTCCTTCCGTACAGTGCCTCATACGGAGCCATTTTAATACTTGCCTGATAACTATTGTTATAGGCAAATTCCATCAGAGGAAGATATTTTTCCCAATTGTTTCCAAAAACAATGACGCACGCTCGCATCATATCTTCAAGAATCTGAATAGTCCTCTCAGACTGGCCATCAATCTGAGGATGAAAAGCTGTACTAAAATGTAGTTTGGAACCGAGAGCTTTCTGTAAGCTCTTCCAAAATTGGGAAGTAAATCGAGGATCGCGGTCTTAAATGATGGACGATGGTACTCCATGTAGTCTAACAATCTCGCGGATATACAGCTCAGCCAGACGCTGTAATGTAAAATCTCGCCGAATTGGTAAGAAATGCGCCGATTTCGTCAAACGATCAACAATAACCCATATTGCATCATTCTTTCTCGGCGACAATGGTAATCCGATTACGAAATCCATCGTAACGCGGTCCCATTTCCACTCAGGAATAGTGATCTGCTGTAAAAGTCTTGTAGGTACCTGGTGTTCGGCTTTGACTTGTTGACAAGTCATACACCTTGATGTGAATTCATTATTTCCCTTTTCATGGCTGACCACCAATAGTGTTTCTTCAGATCCTGAAACATTTTGTTACTGCCGGGATGCATGGTATATATGGTTCCGTGAGCTTCACGCAATAAGCGATCTCTCACATCACCTGATGGTACTACCAAACGATCCCGATAGTATAGTGCACCATTATCTCGAACAGAAAAGTCTTGTTTCTCTCCCTTGGAAACAAGCTCACGTGTCTCGAGACAGAAGGTATCCTGATGCTGTGCTGAAAAGATATCCTGATCTAAGGTGGGTCGTATGTGGAGTTGAGCAAGAGTCTTATGACTAAGAGCATCGGCCACCACATTCGCTTTACCGGGATGATAAGCGATGTGACAGTCATAGTCCTTAATCAACTCTAGCCACCTTCTCTGTCGAAGGTTTAACTCCTTCTGGCTCATCAAATACTGTAGACTCTTGTGATCGGTGAATATGCGAGTCGTCTCGCCGTATAAGTAGTGTCTCCAGATTTTCAATGCAAGAACAACAGCTACTAACTCCAAATCATGAGTCGGATAATTACATTCATGAGGTTTCAGCTGTCGTGACGCATAAGCTATGACCTTGCCTTCCTGCATCAATACACACCCAAGTCCCTGGTGTGATGCGTCACTGAAAACTGTGTATTCAATACCAGGTGTCGGTTGAACCAACACAGGTGCCTGAGTCAAACATTCTTTCAACTGTTCGAAACTTTTCTGACAAGCTTCTGTCCAAGCGAACTTGACATCCTTCTTCATCAGTTTATGAAGTGGTGTAGCGATTCGAGAGAAATCCTTCACGAAGCGACGATAATAACCAGCGAGTCCAAGGAAACTCCGTACCTCACGTGTATTGCGTGGAGTTTTCCATTCAGTGATTGCTGAAATTTTGCATGGGTCAACTTTGACTCCTGCGGAAATCACGTGACCGAGAAAAGTGACCTCATTCAGCAAAAATTCACATTTAGAAAGTTTGGCATAAAGCGTGTGTTTCCTCAGAATACTCAACACGATGCGCAAATGCTCAGCATGATCCTCTGGTGTTTTTGAGTATACTAAGATATCATCGATGAAGACCACGACAAATTGATCTAGATATTGTCTGAAGACGCTATTCATGAGATCCATGAATACAGCTGGTGCGTTCGTTAAGCCAAAGGGCATAACGGTAAATTCATAATGTCCGTAACGTGTACAAAACGCTGTCTTTGGAATGTCTTCTGGTTTCACAGGAATCTGATGGTAACCTGATCTGAGATCGATCTTTGAGAAAACAGTCGCACCTCGTAATTGATCAAACAGATCATCAATACGGGGTAATGGATAACGGTTCTTGATCGTCACTTTGTTCAGCTGACGATAGTCAATGCATAATCTCATCGATCCATCTTTCTTAAGGACGAAAAGGACAGGTGCTCCCCACGGGGAAACACTAGGACGGATGAAACCTTTATCTAACAACTCCTGCAATTGGGCTTTCAATTCTTTCATTTCTGCAGGAGCCATTCGATAAGGTGATGCTGAGATGGGTCCTGTACTAGGTACAAGATCAATTGAGAATTTTACTTCCCTTGGAGGAGGTAGACCAGGAAGTTCTTCAGGAAATACATCAGGAAAGTCACAAACCACAGATATGTTCTTATGGTTAGGAGTTTCCTTCTGCATATCCTTCACGGTGCACAAGAATGCTTCGCATTTCCTGCGAATAAGCCGTTTTGCTTGCATATAAGAGATGAATTCTGGGGCTTTCGGCAGAAGTTCTCCCCGAATGATCACTTCGTTACTGTCGTCTGTATGAAGTTTCACCACTCGTTCCTTGCACTCGACAATAGCCTGGTGTTTTGTCAACCAGTCCTTGCCAAGTATAACGTCAAACTCCTTGTGAGAAAGTTCAATGAGATCGGCTAAGAATATCTTTCCTTGAGCCATCAACGGACATTGATTATAAACATGTTGGAGACGTAGACTGTGTCCCAGTGGGTTCGACACAACTACTGGATGCTCGAGAGTTTCCTTAGTGACGTGAGATGTAACAGGCATAGGTACACATATGTATGTTAAGGTAGATCCAGGGTCAATTAATGCAGATACAGTGATATCAAATAAAGTGAACATACCCATGATGACATCATTAGCCTGCGGATCAGTACGCACTTGCATGGCATATGTACGAGCTGGTGTTCGTCCTTGCTGCTGGCTGGCTGCTGGTTTCTTCGGTTGGTTAGACGCGGCCGTGGAACGATGACTCTGGGTAGGCTCGGCCCGTCGGACAGTAGAAACACCCGGCGTGCTTGGTGCTGTGAAGAAAACCTCGCCTGGGTTCGTCGGGCAATCCTTTCGAAAGTGACCTGACTGACCACACCCGAGGCAAAGACCCTGTGTAAGCCAACACTCACCAGCATGCCTACGGCCACAGAGTGAACATATAGGATTACGATATGTCACTTTCTCTTTTCCGCTTTTACTAGTAACAGCCACAGATTCAGAGGGAGTAGATTTTGCTCGCTTATCATAGCGGGAGTTGCTCGGTGCGGAGAAGGTCCTCTTGCTACCATGTCCCATCTTCAGGCCCGATTGGACGGTCCGACTTTCTGCCAGTAGTGCCTGCTCATACGCAGCTTTCCTGATGAGCTCCTCGTTCAGCTTAAGAGCTTTCTTATAGACATCGTTGATGTCGGCTCGGGGAGCAATTATGAGTGTTGATGACAGGTCTGGTCTCATACCCTTGATGAATTTCTTGCAGCGCTTCTCCATGGTGTTGACCAAGTCTTTACCAAACTCGGCCAATCCGTCAAATTGTTGACGTTACTCGGGAAGAGTCAGCTTCCCCTGAGTGAAATTGGAGAATTCCTCATATTTGGCCTCGACGTAGTGATCGGGCACATACTCTGCTTTGAAAAGTGGCTCGAAGGTATCCCATGGTACCGGCACGGGAATGTTGGCACCCATTCGCTTCCACCAGTCATAGGCGGCATCTTGCAATAGGGATATGGCGTGTTGTCCCCAATCCTCGACAGGTACCTTCAAGTTCTCTAGTACCCTCACCGTGCGTTCTTGCCAATGCTTGGCTATTTGAGGGTCCGCTATCTGGTCGCCACAGAATTCCTGCACCCCATTCCTCTTGAGTTTTTCAATCGAGACAATGGTTGCAGGAGGTGGTGGTGGTGGTACGTGTGCTCCAGCAATCTGTTGGAAGAATTGGAACATGTTCGCAACCATTTGTGGTTGGAACATCGGGATGGCCAAATTCGGGTTCTGACCCGCGAACTGCTCCGGAACTGGCTGAGGTTCCGGCTGAGGCTGATGTTGTTGGGGTACGTAGCTGGATGCCTCAGTGTGCACCGTATGCACACTAACGTGTTCAGGCTCCGCGTGAGGGTTTGCCTGACCGTGAGTCGAATCCTGACTCATTCTATAATTAATTTAAAATATAATTAGTCATAAGTAAACTAATTTTTTACCTTCCCGGGCCGAGATGTGGAGAGATGCGGACTTGTGTTTGAAACTCTTTTGATTTGATTTCCAAAATCATTTTTTTTAAATCGAATGCTCTGATACCAAATTGTAACACCCCAACTCGAATAACCCAATTACCTAGATTATTTGAGCCGGAGTAGTTACCATGATGGTAAATACGCATGATAATTTGAGGAATAATTTAAAACCAATTTAAAACTTTAATATAAATGATAATTTCAAATATTAAATTCAGAGTAATGTCGAAACAGTACGGAAGCTTAAATATAAAACATAATCAAATTGTTTTACATTTTCTGGGTACTCGCCCGAAAAGGTATTTATTTAATTAAAGCATCATAAATGTGGTCCACCAGTCCGTACATCTCGTCACTCTCATTGACCTCCGGGATGGGCTCCATGATCAGTATTGTTACCTGCGTGTAGCAAGTAAAACAATCTACACGCTCAGCGTCAGCTGAGGAATACGCTAATACAACAATTCCAAGTTGAATAGCAAGTAGACATATAATTATTCATGATATGGCATAATATAGCATGTATGCTCAAGATGGTGATAATGATACGTAATTGATGTCATACATGGTCATAAGGATTGTACTTGATGATGATTTCATGCTGTATGATTCTAACTTACAAGGAACGACCTTGCCCTATGAGATTCGCCCATTTGGTACGACGAACTCATGCCACCTTAGTCTCACAAGTGAGACTAGAAAAGTAGGGGTGGTACTCGAAATCCTGAATACCATATACGTACACTAAGCCCGGTCAGTGATGTCGGACTGCTAAGTCCCGCACAATCACAACTATAAGAGACGCACTAGGCATGATCTTTTACGCATGCATATGATATGATATGCTTTAGAATGGATGATGAAATGAATCATATGATATGAACAATTTGTAACAATGTGAATATATAATCATACATTAATTTATTTGGGTGAAACATGGTAAAAATATCATTTACATAAGCTACGGGGCTCGGAACGGTCGACCGTTTGTCGCGACGGTCGACCTTGATCTTCATCACGTCGGGTTGTAGGATCCCTGTGACGGTCGACCGCGGTTGATCGGCGGTCGACCGTTGTTGAGTGGAGGTGGACGGCGGTCCTTGGCTGGGCAGGCGGCGGTCGACCGTTGGCCACCGGAGGTCGACCGTTTGTCTGACAGTCTTGCTCCGTTTCGATTTTTAACGCGACGGTTAACCGTTTACGTCGACCGTTCGGGTCTGTGAATCCTATTTTTTGATATTTTTGGATATCTAAAATACTTCTTTGAGTTATTTTAACACTTATGATTAACATATATATGTATTCGAAATATTCTTAACACTAATTATATTTTCATTTAAAGTAAAGTATCAAGAAAAACATATTTTTACTTTATGAGTTCAATGAGTTTGATCTTAAAACATAAATGACTTATAATATGGCAATCAATCCTAACGATATATCTAGATTGATATTCAACCAAGGATTGCGTTACTAGGGTGCAATGTACTCGCCTTGATATCGTAGAGGTCGGAAAGATAGAAAGATAATAATACGCCTCAACGAACGTTCAACGTACGGTCACCCGTATCAACTTCGAGCTTCCGACGTTCAATCTTCTTGGAAATAACCTCCGGAAGTTCCTAGTAACCACAAGAGAGTTGACGGTAAGTATTTGGAAAGAAACGATGTGAAAATGATGAAGAAACATAGCCAACCCGAGGAGCTCTCCACCACTGGAGCAGTCTTGGTATTTTGGCCATATCTCCTTCGATACTTAACGAAATCACGAATCGTTTGTTTGGTTGGATTCGTATCGTCCGGGGCTACAATTTTGGTATAATAAACATTTTGAGAAAATGAACGGAAAAATTCAGAATTGACTCACAAGTGGACTGATTGTTTTATGCTCAGAATTTTGGAAAGGCTTGGTACTTCTTCTTGCTCCTTCCTCTTCTTTTGGCACAACAATGGAGTTTGAGTCTCCCTATTCTTTCCTTGCAGAGACAGCCGACAGAGAGAGAGAGTGTGAAGAGAGATTGATTGTGTTGTGAAGGCAAACTTTGATAAAATGGAGAAGTATTTGGAGTATTATATTGAGAAGTTTTGGAATTATAGTGTAGTGGAGGTGTGAGTGGATTTGGTGGCTTGATTGAGGATTTGAAGGGATTGGGCTGCGTGATTGAAGACTTTTGGGGAATTAAAATTATTCTCCTACTCCGTAATTGATAAACTGATTAAAACGGTACGCGCTTTTTCGCCCAAACTGTTCCGATTTGAAAACGGATCGCATATTTGGAATCAGACTGTCAAAACTAAAATTTTGATAGAATTAAAATATTTTTCTGAAAACTCTTATTTTTCAGTGTTCGGGTCTGTCTCAGTCATTAATTAATATTTAATTTAATTAATTCTTTTAGGCCTAATTTCGGGGCGTTACAATAAGGGTTCTTTTGGAAACTAAAAAAACAACATCCAGAAAATGACTTCTGGAAAATGGTATGATGTCTCAACGCTAATACACCGAGATCATTGTCAAATGTTTCAACATTTTATCACAAAATATTCTAATTATTATTTCTAATAATGTAATCGTTCCACATGGATTGTGCAATTTCATCTCTCTTGGTCATCCAATCTTGAGTTTCTTATCTTTCTTGATATTGTGTAAGTGTTGATCTCACATTCGAATGACCATCCTCATCGTCATCAACATCATCTTCGAATAATTCTGAGTTGATTATATGAGTAGGATCAACACCCATGATATGATTATAAATTATGCAACAAGCTACGACTACGTCCACTCGCGTCTGAAAGTCACAAAATGGTTCTGCATCTAATACACAAAATCATTTTTTCAGAATTCCAAATACTCTTTCAATACTGGTACGCAATGATGAATGACGAAGATTAAAGAGCTCATTAGCATTTTCTGCTCGATGATTAGAGAACTCTTTTATATGATATCTTACACCTCGGTGTGGAGTAAGAATTCCTTTCCGAATGCCATATCCAGCATCACCGAGATAATATTTTCCTATAAGAAGAGAGTGAATGACAATATTATTATATGTAACAAAATCTGTATAAAAAGTAAACAATTTTAAATATTATTAACTTCTAGGATTGTAAATCCACTTGAATGAGTGAGGGCATCGTTCAAAATATTAGAACCATGTGCACTTCCTTCCCACCTAGCAAGTACATAACAAAATCGTAAATCACAAGTGATGGTAGCAAACACATTTTGTGTAGTACCACCTTTACGCCCACGAAAGCTTCCTTGAAGAGCTTGTGGTACAGAATCACAAACATGTGTTTCGTTAATTGCTCCTACACAATATTTAAAGTATGGATAGTGTTGGGAAAATATTATAGATTTTGATGATGATGTATTTAGATTGTAATAGGGACTTTAGGTCTCCCCCAATATTCAATGTAATTTTTCTTTTTAGAAATACTGTCAAAACCGAGTTCTTGAGATTTCCAATAAAGTTGTGATATTTCTTTAAGTGGTTTGATGCTTGAAGACTTAATCAAACTCTGTGGTATGAAAATTGGATATCTTGATCGGAAATGTCAGAGACAAGTAAGGATTTCTCAAAGCAGATGAAGATCCTCTGATCCGGAAGACTACATGATAACCGGATGTCTCGCTATAACCCGCTGAAGGCTAAGTCATCCAAAAACGGAAGACTAGCGCGGATCTCTTTCTCACCCGGAAGTCTGTGAATGACTCTTCCGGATTTGTCAGCAAAGAACCGGATGCCTCAAGAAAGACCAGAATTCTCAGAAGCGGACAAGTGAGAAAAGACTTAGAAAATTATCTAAGTCTTGAATGAAGAAATTCTACCCGTTGGTAAGGAAAAATCAATCTCTTGATTTTCAACGGCTAGATTGAAGATAATTATGCTGATTCAAGAACAAATGACTCGAAGACAAAGTCTGGACCTCTAAAAATTGAAGAGCATGTCCATAATTCCTAAATAAGCACTAGAAGACAAACAGAGTAAAGTGCTACAGTCCAGAATTCTTGAACAAAAGCTAGAAGACGGATTCTGTGGAAAAAGGAATCCCTCCTTAAACAATTGGGTATGTCCAAACACCCATTCCAACAAGGAATCTTCAAATCACAATCTTCATTCAAAATTGAAGCCAGCAAATGCAACGGATAGTCTATTTTGATTCAACGGATAGATTATCAAATCCAGCTATAAATAGCATCCTTGGAAGACTGGAGAAGATACGATGAGATAGACAACCACAAAAAAACAATCTCTAACAACAAAGCTATCTCATTCACAGTTAGCCCAAAAGCTTGATAAAGAGAGAACTCTAAACTCTTTATCCAGAAGCAAACTTCTTCTCCTTCCAAAGAGCTATAGTGTAAACACTTGAAGGTTTCCTTGCCTCAAGTACCACACCACGTTGAAGGATATAACTTTTGATCAAACTTATTGACTGAAAGGGGGTAGATCAACTTTCTTACGAGTTGATCTTGCAAGTCCTATTGTTCGGATCTTGCAGTTGTTGAAGAAGCGTGACCTTCAAAGGAATAACAAAGCCCGCACGAGTGCAGTAGCAACTTTGGCTTTGCGAAGATATACCATGCAGAAATTCACACAAGTGTAATTGTTGGTTCATTATTCAACAACCAACTACGTAGTGGATGTTGAGGACGTAGAAGGATTACCCCACCTTCGAACCTCGTTAAAGTTTGTGTGTCTCTCTCTTATCTTTATTCTTACTTGCAATTATAATAACTGTGAAAACTAATCCATCCATATTGATTACTGCTCACTCTACCCACCAAATTCCGCACACAATCTAAAGTTCACAAGAACTCTAGATTAACACTCATTTTCACGTTTTCAAAAGAAACGAAAAAGTTTTAAATTTGTAACAAAGTCTATTCACCCCCCTCTAGACTTTGTATCTCACCAATTTGGGACCACCAGATAGAACCTAGGATTGCTAATGATTTCATGTGGGATTGATTCATCATTAGGTAATGTAATGAGACCATTTTGTAATCTCAAAATGGCTCTCAATGCGGACCTAAAGTAACGACGAATTGTCTATGTTGACCTATAATATCTTGAGCCAATTACTCTCAATCTTACATTGTTACCAATTATATGCAAAAAGATTAACAATTTCTCTCTATCACTATTCCCTCTAGAGCTATGCAGTATATTATTGGTAGTAAGTCACAGAGCTTGAAAAGGAAGATGGGCGCAAACTAATTACATCTACGCACTTTTCTCCCCTTCAAACAAGATAGTATTTATATATTACTCCCTCTCAAAATCATGATTGACAATTTCATGAGCAACTTGATTTCTACTCTTTAGATGCTTCACAAGGAACACTCCAATTGCAAGTATCGTAGATACCGTACTTAAATGTTGGAGTTGGTGCCCTTGTGGCCAACTGCTGTTGTAATATCTTAGA